GGAGTGGTGGGGGGCGGCCCGAGGGGCTGGGAGAGGGTCCGGCCCACGCTGCGCCTGGGCTGGGACTGGTCCCGCCGGCGCACGGTAGCAGGAAACTCTCCGCACACTCACCAGACCTGGGCTAGGACTGGGTCTGGGGGCTCCAGGAACACGGCAGAAAAAAAAAATATATTTAAATTTTAATGAATAACTTTTTTGTACTAGAGGAGTGTATTTATTTATTTATTTATTTAAAGCTCGGTTTATACTTATTCATATTTAACCTATGCCTTTTTTTTGTGGAACTGGGGATTAAACTCAAGTCCTTGTGTTTGCAATGCAAGCGCTTATTCTACTGAGCCATCTCCTCAGCCTAGAGGAGTGTATTTAGAGCACTGTCATATTTTCTAATTGTATTTTGTAACATTTCAATAACTCTTTTGTAGGTGTTCCTCAACTGTAGTTGTCTTGAAATTTCTGGCATTAAGAGCACAAATTACTCTGTTCGTTTGGGAGAATGCCCAAGAGATAATCATTGTAAAAAGAAACATTACATATACATAGGCATACAATTCTTGGATGCTTTTTTTACTTCCTTGGGAAGTACCTCATATATGTTGTTGCTTATGAAGTGAGTATGAAATTTTATGTGTGTTAGAATATGATCTTAAGCAATCATGTATATCTTTCATGCTAAGTTGGTGACCAAAGCTCCTATCTTCTTATATTTTAATTACCTGAAATGCATATTTGAGGGCTAATTTGACATTTTGATTCCATAATTAATAATAGCTTTCTCTATGATTCTCTTATTATGGAATTTGGATTTTACACTTTCTACTCTTGCTAAGAACCTTAGGACACAAGCTGACAATTCCCTCAATTAAAAAAGAACTCTATAATTCTCAGGAAAAAAGGTGTTTAATTTTCAGTTGTCATACATCCTGATGGGTCTGTCAGAGTGAGACATCTGTTGATTTTTTTTTTATTTTCATTTTTTATTTTTTGTGGAACCGGGATTGAACTCAGGTCCTTGCACTTGCCAGGGAGGCGCTTATTCCACTGAGCCATCTCCCCGGCCCTCATCTGTTGATTTTATTGAAAGAAAATATTTGTATATCAGATCTAAATTTAAACTTCAGTCAATAGTAATATTCTAATATTTTTAGACCACATACCAGATAACTTTTAATTTAATTCTTCAAAACAATCTGTAGATAGAAAAATATATGAAAAAAATTTATTTTTTTTCTTCATTTATTAGACAAATATTTGCACAAAATACCGTGTTTGCTGAATAATCACTTATGGTAAATAAAACCAGTAGGGTATCAATTGCCATGTATCTTAGAGTACAGAAAAAGACTTACATAAAACAAACAGGCTTAGAAATAAATATAATTATAAGGTATTTTTAGTACTAATCAAAAAGTATGCTTTTGGGAATAAAGTGGCTGCGGAGATAGCTCGGTGGTCTAAGTGCCTGCCTAGCAAGTGCAAGGACACAGGTTTGATCCCCCGTACAGCATGTCATGCTGGCCCCACCCTGGCACTCGGAGCCAGCCACTGAGACCTGGCATGGTGGTGCATACCTATAAATCCAGTGCTGAGGAGGCTGCAAGGAGGAGGATCACTATGAGTCCAAGCTGCGTAGTGAGCCCCTGTACCAGATACATGAATTTAAAAATAAATAAGAAATAAACTTACAAAAAGGGGAAGAAAGATGAAAATTGCTTTAAGACTGAAGTGAGGGGCTGAAAAACTCAAAGCATTTCTCAAAAGAAATGACAATTGGTCTAAAACATCAAGGATCCAAATGAAGTGATTTTTCAGGGAGGGGTTTTGGATGCCCAACTCTGCAGGCAGCAATGAGCTAGTGCATTCAAAGGATAGAAAGGAGCACTTTGGTTGGAAGGCAATGAAATAGGTGTGGCACAAATCACAGATAAGATCGAAAAGTTAGAGCAGCCACAGGTCATCCAAACTCCAATGGTGAAGTTAATCATTCAATCTAACAAAACTGAATATGTATAAAGAGTCGCACATATAGGTCTCCAAAATTATACACACTGGGTTAGTTACTTTTCTCTCACTGCTGATATAAAATACCCCCTATGACTACATGAGGCTTTGGAGGGGACATCCAGACATGAACCATCACTCACGTAGATATGATGACCTGGTGATCGTCTGCTTATGCTTTTAAACCTAGTTCATTATGAGTTTTCATTGGTGAGCACATTGCTTATTTTGTTACTTCACAGACACAGTTAGTTCTTCCTTAGTACAAAACAGTGTCTTCCCAAGTATAGAAACTTAGTTACAGACTAAGTTACAAAAAAATCCTCTCAGTGCTATTAGTTGACAATAGATTTTAGCTTCTTAAACTGTTATGAGAATTTTGGAAGATATTCTTCTATCATTGATGTTCATTATATTCCTCTTGCTAAAAAGTGATTAAATCAACATTACCACTTCTGAACAAGTCTACTGACCTCTCACTGACTGTTGATTTTAGTAAGAAAGACCCATCAAACACAGGAAAAATGGAATTGTGGGGACAAGTTTCTAAATGCAAGAGAGAGTAGATCCCAAATGAGAAGATACATGTACTTTTAGTTGCATATACTAGATGTTAGAATACAAAACGTTACTAAGCCTTATCATATTACAAAATTCATGTCACACAATAATAAGCTTTGCTTTTGACTTCAGTGACAGAATGAAAGTAGCAGAAGAGATTAGATGAATGTCTGCTACTTACCCGTGGTTGTATCCGCTGAAACACTCGTACAAGACAGGTGCCTGTATCAACACAACAACAGTCACAGTTGTGTTCTCACAGGATTTTCATAAAGATCAGTGTGAAAATGTCTGCTAAACTTTCTTA